CTATAAATTGTAAAATATGCATTTCTAATGCACAGATGGAGATTCTACAATGAAAGATATTACAATTAACAAGGTAAGACGGCGTTTGTATTGTTTTACTAGATAAACTCGACTCCTCTGCTCCCTGTGGCTGACGCGTCATACACTATGCGTAACATGGTACTTTCTACATCGTTCCTGGTCACGCCTTTATGTGGAATGTAGAACTCTTTTCCCGTAGCCTTTTCTGGCGCTGCTTCGATAGTCCCGAGTTGTAGTTCTCGTATAATCTCGTCGTACTTTTCATACTGATCTGTCTGCTCCAATTTCCTTATCAGGTGATCCAGGCGTCGCTTGCTCCCAGCTTCATTGGTGGGTAGAGGGGGATGGTTCCCTTTCCAAGGTAATTTGGCTTCATACCATCCTGCGTCATTTCTGCATAGTTGCTCCTTAAATTCCTGGTAGACTGTCTGCTGGTCGTTCTCATTACTGTCGGCAAGACCTAGAACATCCAACGCACATAGCAGTTCATAGTTCGTGTTGGCGGATTTGGTTAATAGAATTGGGCTGTCTACCTCCTCTCTTCCAGGGGACATGACTGTCCATCCAAGGAGTGTTTTCTCTGCAATTGGTTGGCCTGGTAACCCGACTCTTTGGGCTGTTGTGGTTTTAATCATTGCATAATCACTTGCGCCGAGGACTACATGGATTGGGATTTCTGGACGATTGTCAGGATCATCAAGTTTTGCACCCTTAAGATGGCTATACTTCTTCAATAACTTTGCATACCGTGTGTTTTTGACCGACATCAGCTCTGGCTTGTCTACGTTCGATAGTTCAACGTTCATGTCGAATTTGTGGTCCAGCGACTTGAGGTTTGCCGAATATATCTCGATTCGAGTTGTCGATGACGTCAGCATCATTTCTATTCTCTTTGTCTTCACTTCTTTGGGTCTTTTCTTTAGAGCATTGATCAGCTTGGTCGAGGCATAGGAACTACCAGCTCTAGTGTCGAGAAGCGCATGGGTTTTAATTCCTTCAACTTCGACAAGTACGATAGGATATATCACCTCCTGGTCTTCTTGTTTTCTGGCAGTCATCACTGCTTCTGGCTTAGACTCTTTCGGCGCATTACAAATTGACGTATGATGTCTTTTGTTACAATGTCTGCAGGTTGATGTACTTCTACACTCTGATGCCCTATGGGAAGGACCTGTACAGTTGAAACACAGTTTCTTCGTTGCCAACAGTTTCTTTCTTTCGTCTAATGTCAAGATTGAATCACATTCGGTTGATCGGTGGCTCTCTGCGTTGCAATATACACAAACTCGTTTTTGCTTGGATTTTCCTTGCTGTGTCTGGAGATGGTACTGGTTTCGCCGCTCTCTCTTGTTTGGATCATCTTGCTTGGCTTCAACTGGATTACGTCGTGTCCACAGTCTGAGGGCCTCAGTAAATTGAACGTAATTCCACTCTTCCCACTTGGAGTCATTGCGAACCAAATCTCCCCGAATGTTTGGTAACTTTTCAAGGGTCATAGAAACAGTCCCGTTTACAGCATCCAGCTTTTGAGGGTTTCCAGTGACTGGACAGAGTATGCTAGCTTTTCGTAAAATTCGAGAATCCTTTTTGGGTTTGATGACGGGGTATAAAGAAGATCGAGTATTTCCTTCACATATGCTTTGACGACCTCACTATCTTTGCCAAATCTGTTTTTCAAAATGGCTAAGGCCCTATTACAGCCTTCGGCAGTATATGACAAAGCTTCAATTGCTTTCTTAGCTTTCTCGCATAATAATTCTCTAAGATAAGAAAATTTAGTAACAGGAAGCGTACCTGATTTATCGATTGTTTCAGAATATTGTCCCCAAAATCGAGACCAATTAGCATATGTTCCATCAAATTTTGTGATTGTAAGCTTGGGTAACTGGCTTCGATGTTTCCACTTGCGCTTGAAGATATCTCACTCGATGGTGCTTCCACTTTCTTGTGTTCTGCTTTCAATTTAATTTTTGCTTCTTCAAGTTTAAGCTCGAAATTCATACGCTCTTGTCGATGTTGATCTTCACGTTTGACTTGTGTATCGTTTAACCACTGTTCGAGAAGCCCTATTGTTTGGTCTGCTGCTTCTATATGCTTTTCTATTTCGTTGCTCCATTGATCGATCTCGCTCACTTCTTCCTTCGATGTAATTTTCTCGGCTTCGACAGTTCTATGCCATTTGCTCACTTCTGTTAGCGATTCTTTTAAAGTTTCGATATGTCTTCGAATTACATGTTCTTTACCTCCTTTTAAAACGTTATCCGACTTACCTCTAGCTCTCCCAAGTTGAATTAGTTTTGTTTTTAGTGTAATCTCCGCGGTTTCTCCCGTATTTTCGCCTGTCGCCATATCGCTTTTATATAAACACGCTTTGTTTACGACTTTACGCACGCTAAAACATCACAAAATCACAAATATCCCATTCGTTGAGGTGTCACGTGTTGTGAATTTCTATGCCTCGTGTTCACAACAAATCACAAAAGGATGATTTTAAGTAAATTTCAATAATATATTTTGCCACATCTCTGTTTTTCTCACACTCACTCACAATATACATAGTACATGCACAATGCCCTCTCTACATCCGGTTTGGAACTTCCGCTATACTCAAACCCTACTATATACCTCCGCTATACTCAAAACGTACTATATACAAACCCTAGGTTAGCATTAACCGCCTTTGAACAACCGGCCCCAGGCTAGCAGTTCTCCATTGATGGATGAACGATTATTTATAGCAAGGTTGGACTGGTCAGTAATCAGTATGCATCTCAAGCACAATTAAAATCAGAAAAAGTTGACATGCTTATGTTTCTAGATGAAAACTTGTAAATATGTTCTCCTAACATTGTCTTCTTACTTGTATTTTTATACCTCTGTAAGCTTTTGATATTAACCCAGTGCGCCCTACTTATTTTTTTTTGTCAATGGGGAAGCGCGGCAGCTTAATGAGTTAACCAAAAAATCTGACAAAAGTCGCAGCCTAAAGGCGGATTTCCAGTCCTCGCACGAAGCTCCTCGCTGCGAGTGCATGCATGAGCACTTTCATCCAATCACAATGCTAAACAGTTAATTTTAATTAGATGCAAGCACTCGCAGCGAGGAGCTTCGTGCGAGGACTGGAAAACCGCCTTAAATAAGATGCGGCTTAAATTAGTCGCGAACAACTCGTATAAACAGTCAATTTGCAATAAGCCGCGGCTTATTTAGGCCTAGCTTATTGCAAATTGACTGTTTATACTTTATACGTGTCGTTTGCGACTTATTTAAGCCACGGCTTATTTAGGCCGTGACTTATTTTTGCTCGTATAAATGGCCCTAATGTCTCTAGTTAAACCATTGAGCTGCAATGCGCCCCAGTGTGCCCTACTTATTTTTTTTACTTGTCTAACACCAGAAGATTTTACTCGTTAATGGGGAAGCTCTGCAGCTTAATGGGGTTTTTGTTGCCAAAACTTGCATTATAAACCCACAATCCGCATGACTACTGTCAACAACAACACTGGTGTCTGCTAAACTGCAGTCCAGCCCACCCATCTTATTCTAGGCCAGCAAACGGCAAATTTTGCCATCGCTAAGAAGACATTTGACAGCCATTTGTCAGAGGTTGTGTGTAATTTGCCGGTACTTGTAGTCATGACAAGTTGAGATTTTTAGCCCAGTCTTGCATTTGAACAATATACCAAATAGACAAAGCTTTGCAAGCCTTTGCCCACCACTCAACTTACAGCATCCTTGAAGCTTCGACCTTCCATTCTTTGCATACTCACTTTGCTCATAATAGCCTGATCCTCAGTAGAGCAAAATAGCATTGGCCATACCCAAATTATTATTACCTAGGACTTCAAACGGATACCTGAAGGGTCAATTTTTTCTTTATAATAATATCACAGTAATTGTAATGACACCATAAACAACATCTTATTATTAAACGCCGAGATTGCGCGCGCTTGGTCGATTCACAATCAAGACAGGCAAAAATTTCATGTCTATCTGAAACTAGTTGGAAAAGAATACAATGTGCTGACTTGGCTTGAGCGTATAAATACATACATACTGATATTCAACATTAAGGAAATTTTATAGCAGGTGTAGAATATATAATAGTTTTGTTTGTGGGAACACCACGTACATTTATTACTGCAAAGCTTTCGATCCATAAGCCCGGATCTTCATCAGTGCGAATAATATATTTACGTTTATTTATGCAGTAATAAATTTACGTGGTGTTTCCATAAACAAAACTATTATATGTTTTATCGCCATGCAAACGTACAAAGAACTTAGGTGTAGAATATGTTTTCAGATTTTGTTTTGTACTATTCCCATTGCTTAATTAACCCTAATTACCTTGCTCACTTTGCCTACATAGCTAGCATCAATGCTTATTACCCTATTACGCGTAATAAAAACAAAATTGCATAACTAACAGTCTTAAAACAGGCATCATTTGAAAAAATCTGACAATGTCTTTAGTTAACCCATTGAGCCCCAATGTGCCCCAGTCCGCCCTAATTCTTTTTATTACTTGTCTAACGCCAGACGATTTTACTCGTCAATGGGGAAGCTCTGCAGCTCAATGGGTTAATTATGTCACAACCTGCCAGTTACTGATGCCGATACTGATTTTATAATGACGTCATAATATCATTCGACCGGGGTAAAGGTGACATCATTCATGTCGATTTTTTTAACGATAATTTTCAACGTAACATGTTACTGCAACCAAAGATCATTAAAACTGTTAATAAATGCATTTAATGGGTTAAAGCAAGAAAACTTCGAGTCTGCAGCAACAAGGGCAAATAATGTTAGCCAATCAGCGCGTTTGTTTACATTTTGCGTTATTGACCAATCAGAATGCCTGAAATTCGAAACATGTAAACAAAAGGAGTGAGAAAATAACACCTTGTTCTACGCCCTCGGTGACATTCGATAATAAACTTTTTTCGCCAAAACTGACAAATTCTGATAAAGCAAGCTTTCTTCTTTAATTTCCTCGGGGGGATTTTTTAAATCCGATCTAGAACGCGAAATATTTATGTTTGAATAACAGTGTTTCGACGCGCGTAAAATAGCAGACTCTCACTTGCACTATCTTTACACACACATAAAAAATTGGTAGATTTGGCAGTTTAAACTTATTTTCCCCGCACCACAGCTGACATGTTTTTAAATATTACCTATCTGATCTCATCGATCTCATTTCGCATCGGAAATGCGTCACAACGATCCACAACTGACAGGTACAATATCGCATGACTCATTACTGTACATTAAAAGTACATATCCGGTTGGCAAAATGGCGATTGTCTGACAGACCTTCGCGAAGGGCTTAATATTTTTGCTAATAAAGCTAATTTTGCTAATCACGAGGGTTTCGTTCTGTTCGTCTTCTGGTTCGTCGTCAATCATCATCGGCTGCCTCACTTTCTTGGTCGCTTTCGTCCTCTTCAAAGCAAGTCACCGGGGCAATCAGCGTTAATATTTGCTGTCTTTCGAAGACCTTCCAAGAGCTTCAACATTTGCCAACGTTGTTGCTTCACAAACTGGGCAATCGCTGATGTTGGGCAGGATGCATTCGATGTGGAACGTAGGTCCACAACCACGGAAAACGTTCCAAATGGAATAACCTTTTCGCAGGCAGGCAAATCGCAGGTAAGATTTATATTTTATATTTACAGATCTTGATACATTTATAGTCAACGTCCTTGGTGATTGTTCCAAAATATGAGTGTGTGCCAAAGTTAAAATATTACTCATAATCTCCAGAACATGTTTGGATAATGTTTTGAATCACTGCAGTTTAGAATTAGCAGTCGTTTTAAAGACAACAGAACTGGCAGCCATGGCACCCCATAACTATTCAGTGTACAATACCAGACAATGTAAATTACCACCTCCCCCAACCCAGAAGTAGGCAGTTTTTATTTCCCAGCACTGCATAATCAAAATTGCTGGATTGTATAAATGCCTGGCTTTGTCTCAGTGGCCCTGCTTTGCCCCATGAACCCCACACTTCCTAGATTCAAGCAAGCGGGGACTTATATTGACTGGTACTTAGGTCCTGTTTATATGGAAGCCGGGCTGGCCCGCTAAGTGAGACAGCCCGGTAAGCGAGATCTCGCTGTGTAGTTATTTTTATAGTAAAAATTATTGTGCGTTTATATGGACAAGTGGGCTGGCCAGGTTGCCGAGATCTCACTTGAAAAGAGGTGAGATCTCACTTGAAAAGAGGTGAGATCTCACTTGAAAAGAGGTGAGATCTCGCTTACCGGGGTGGAAATTTCTCCATATAAACACTCACAAGCGGGCTAGCCCAGTTGCTGGGATGAAAGATACCGCCGCAAGCTATTTTTAACAACTGTCAAAACCAGCAAGCGGGATGAAATTTTCCCATATAAACACAAGAGAAATTCATCCCACCTGCCTGTCTCGCTAAGCAGGCCAAGCCCGGCTTCCTGCATATAAACAGGCCCTTAGTTGAATTGCAGCACTTGGTCTGCCTGTGTGTTACTCTTACGTGTACCCTGGTTCTTTGCAAGGTAAAAGAAACAAGAGGTGAGAATGGAAAGCCTCTGATCATATCAATTGCAAATCCCACTTCCACACTTGAATAGGTTCAGAATTTGAATCTTGCATGTGATTGGCCATTTGTAAAAATATGTCAAACCTGTTTGGGAAATAAACACTACTGTGAGCTAATTATAGCTATCTATCTATTTAGCATGCCAAATAGGGCCGGGTCACCACAACAGCATATGCCAATTACTGTGAGCCCTTTTTACCCAACCCACCCTGTCAACTTTCCATGTGGGAGGAAACTGGAGTACCCAGGGAAAACCTGTGACGTTCGGCAGAGCGTTGCGGTTTATTCTTTTCACATGAGGACTGGGTTTGAGTCGCATTGAGAAAGTTCTCACTGACTTGAACCTGCGGCCTCAGTGGTGACAGGCAAGTGAGCTAACCACTTGGCCACCGAAGCCCCAATTAAAAAGCCCCAAGCTATTATAGTAAACTCAACCAAGCATGAATATTAATACTCCCACAGGTGAAAAGGTATTAAATTTCTCAGGAGATAAACATATCAACATTAATCAGTTTTGCAGGACATGTAATACATTCTTGGTTGAGTTTAGAATATTTTAATACAGGCTATAATTAGCTTGCAGCAATGTTTATTTCCCAAGCCAGTTTGGCATATTTTTACAAATGGGCAATCACATGCGAAATTCAAATGCTGAACCTAATCAAGTGTGGAAGTGGGATTCGCAATGGACAGTGACCCTGGGCTGTACACAGCACAGGGGAGGGGGCGGCAGGAGGGGAAACTGCCCTCCTAAAAGAAA